ACCCATTATTGGAGACAAAGAATTCAATTCTGTATTGAATACTATTATTGACAGAAAATGTGATATATTTTGCGATTTTTTAATTAAAAGCAAACCGTTTTGTATAATCCATAGGACTGACGGGAATATAACTAATAGTTAGATATTTGTTTAATATTTTTTTAAAGTTCAAACTGGCATTTACAATAAATATGTTTGTAGAGTCAACCGACATTAACGCAATTAACCGATCAATGTTTGAAGAAATTAAGAAGCAAATTCATGAACAATCTGTGATCCATTGTTGGACAATATATGAAGTTAAACATAAAATATCTCAACAAATGTACTCGTTATACACAAGGGAACTTATATCATTCTGTAAGACTTATTGTGTATGACATACACTGTATGTGTTGGATATATGATAAATGGATAGTACTTTTCAACTCAACTTTAATACTATACAATATCGCATAATATAAAAGTATATTAATTCTTAGAATTCATGTTATACCCCACAAACACAAATATATAGAACCGCTCTCACTGTAGTTCAATAATGTGTTTTAAGTACTGAACTGTACAGTATGTGTTCTTTATATCTGATGTTAGAAAGCAAATTGAGGTTTATATATAGGCTAAAAATTTATATATTTGTCATTGCTTTCTAGTAAAGTATAAAGTATTTTTAGCCTACATATAAGCCTCAATTTGCGTTCTAACATCAGATATACTTTATAACAATTTTAGATGTAGTTCACTGTTAAGCAGAGGTTTGAGTTTACTGGCTCCAAAATTAAAATAGCACTGTCTCTGGCGAGAAATTAGCATTATTTTTTAAATGTGGATATATTTAGCATAAGATTTTCTCTAAGAATTGTTGAACTATTATCCATTTTTTTTATATCTGTACTTAAAACTGATTTAATATATTGAAACTTATTTTATATGTAAATTCTACCTAGTTGAATCGCCAAAGTACCTTGAAGCATTGTCTGAATATGTGGCTAAAAACGAGTACAACTCATGGATAGAAGCTCATGAGATATTCATTCAAATGAAATTGTGTTCAGACGATGAGATTCAATTAATTGTCAATGATCTGGTTCAACTGTATGATCTGGTTCAACTGGATGAGTGATAAAATGTGTTCAGTATTTACACCAAACATACTATTCATAATTGCCATTATAGTTTGCAATAAAAATTATAAACCTATCCTTTAATATAAAATTTTCTAATAATACTTATATTTAATAGAATTCATTTCATTTAGATAAAGTATATTCATCCAGGAAGTTATATGTAAATTATATGACATTTATAAATTATCTATTTTATTACTTCAATTATCGATTAGTTCCCTGTACTCTAATTTTATCATGATTTATCATTTGCTAATTTTATTTTTTTTGCATTAAATTTTTATATTTTTTGTTTTCAAATAAAAGTTTTTAATTTAATACAAACTTAATTAGTTTCAAATTAAATGTCTATTTATACTTGGTTAGAGACATGCAATCATTCAATTAAATTTGAATTTCAATTACTTTATAAATCTTAGATATATTTAAATTGAAATTATATAATTAATAAGTTTTATCATAATTTTACTACTTATTTAAATGTGATAGATTATTCCTAATAGTTTTAATGAAATTTTTAATGAACAGTATTTAAATAAACAAAACGTACTATATAAAATAAAGTTTTAAAATATTTTAATAATTCTCATATAATAATACAAATTAAATAATTTTTACAATAATTCTTGAACTGAATAATTGATTTGTAAAAATATACTAAATAATTAATTGTATAAGGTAATTCTAAACCCAAAATTAAATCTTAAATTGTATAAACGATTTGTTTATTTGTTTATCTAATCGCCTTAAATAATGGGTAATCACCAAGGCTAATTATACAATTTAAAACGGTGTAAATAGTGTAATTAATTACATAATTATTAATATTTTAGCATGGGTGTGCAACTTATTAATAATTTATATTTATGTGTAGGTTTCATAATACAACATATATTCCTATAACTAGTGTACAGTTCAATGTTTTATATTATTTTTTGTGTTAAATATTAAGTAATTTAGTGTTTATTAAGATTTGAAAACAATTTAAAAAGTTTCGCAAATATTTTACAATTTATTAAATACTGTCAATAATTTTTAATTGATAACATTTTTCTACTTGTTTATGTTAGCTAATAAACTTTGGAAATGAATGTGAAATATAATACATCATTATTTATCGTATGATTATCTGAAACACTTGTATTGTCAAAGTGATGGCCATATGTATAGTGGAACTACACCTTAAGAGTCGCCGTCAATAGGATGTCTGGACAGAGAGTAACCGCAGGGTAATCTAATCATGTGATTTATCAACAAAACTTTATTATATAATTTTTACAACAAAAATTCATTACATAATTTCAGCATAGATTTAAGTATAAATGTTCATAACTTATACCTTGTTTATAAACATTATCAGATAAATCACATTCACTTCCGACATAAAGTTTGACTTTACCTATAAATTAATTATAATTTCTGTTATAATATTACATTGGTGCAAAAGTACTCGCGTCGACCTTTATTTGAAAACTGTGCTAGCTAAAACAAAACAAAAAATATAATTTTTTACAATT